GGGATATCTAAATCGAGGAATTGATCGTCGTACCCGTTCTCACGTGAGGTCCCGGCAGAGTATTACGTCACGTTATCAGGCCTCACAATGGTAATGCCCGAAATCCTTATAAATTAGGAATGATTTTAGAAATTTTTTTAACGTATTTATTTACGCAACAGCTTACGTATGTTGTGTAAATAAAATCTGAAGATAAAACATCCATCGAGTATTTTTTTTTCTAGATATACATTCATTAAATTAAAGAAAAGAAATTTTGAATTTTATTTTCAAAGTTTAAAAAAAAAAAAAAATCAAAATAGATGTCATGACAAAATTAATTTAACTTTGAGCGAGGATATCTCAACAACTACTCAACAAAGTTTATCGAAAATTTATTTAATTCTAGATGTGCTATTTCTTGAGTTAGTTTGCGTGAAGTGCTCGCACACGTTAAATTAAGATTTTAACTTTTCAAAGGTTTCTATTTTTGAGGGAAACAACTAATTACTTCTTAATATGTTTAGTATTAAAATGTAGGGATAAGATATTTTTTAAAATATGCAAAAATAGTTTGCTATGAAATATAATCTAAATGTGCTGGATATTTTATAACAATTATTATAAAATGCAACTATGATGTTTTGCACCTATTATATGTTTTTAAGTTAGTATTAGGTTTTGGAAAGGGTTTTCAGGAGCGTAGGACATTTTTACTTAGAACACCTCGTACTGATTAATTAGATAATGCATGCATATCATAGGTGCGTTTTAGTCATATTCTTTTTAATAATTTAGTTCTCATACTATTTATTTACGTAAAATTATATTACATATCGCCTAATTAACCTGGGCGATGTACTAATCAAATTGATCTTTTTACAAACCCGTTCATTATATGAAACTTTATAAATTTTGATTATTTAATAAATTTACGGTACACATTTACAATTTTACAAGATTTGTAATTAATTTCACTATTACTTTTTCGGCACGTTAATAAAAATTATTTAAATAGTTCGAAATTGATTACTATATATTTGATATCGGATGTTATGTTAATATAATATTTAAAAATGATAAAAGTTTAATTTATCTATAAATATTGGAACACTTCGTAATCCTCTATGTCAAATTTTTGTACTTTAAATTCTTGAAATTCATTGTAAATAGTTTTGATCGGATTTTCATAATCACATCGGCAGCATCCCCATTTCCCTTCTTTTTTGTTACCTTTAATCATATAAAGATCTGAATAACCAAAAGATGATCCAGATTTTGTATTTTTACAATAAATTGCGCAATCAACACGCTTAACTCTGCTATATGTAGAATCAATGCCTTCTTTTTTCAAAGCGAAAAGAAAACTATCATTTGTTTCTTTATATTTCTGCCCTTTTTTTGCTTATCCCAAGTAAGAGGATTATAACCGCCAAGAATCTCGCCTGTGTCCTTAACTTTTAAAACTATTACTGTTTTATCTATATTTTTGCACTTTTGGTAAAATATGTTTTTAGTAAAACCATCTTGGCTGCCCCTAAGAATTAACTTAAGACCATTAATACTGGATGATGAAGGATCGATCCAAGAAATAATTTTTTCAATCTGTTCAGGAGTGATCACAGTTGAAAAATTTTCATTTGATCGAATTTTTTTCAAATTTGCAAGGACTTCTTTTATTTCTGGACGCTCAGCAGGATCTTGATCCCAAAAATGCTGGTAAAGTTTAACATAATCCGGAGGAGTATCTGGTATGGGAGATTCTCTTGCTCCGCTACTTACATGCTGAATAATTGCTAGATTAGTATTAAAATGATTGAAAGGTGGCTTGCCACTAGAAATCTCCCAAAGAATCACACCAAAACTATAAATATCAGATCTCTTGTCACGTTCATATGTAGAATTTTTGAAATATTGAGGTTCTACATATCCGTACACTCCATCAACTATAATACTCGCAGACTCATTTTCATGTTTAGATATTCCAAAATCTGCAATCAACAATCTTCGATTATGAACCAAAATATTCTTTGAATGCTATTACGAATATTAGAAAATAAAAGTAAATTAATTTGTTCAAGATAATTAGAAATATATATATAGGAATCCTTACGAGATCTCGATGAAAAATTCCGTTAGCATGTAAAAACGATAGTCCATCAGCTATTTCTTGAGCAAATCGTAATTTATCAAACCATTTTAATTTCGAAAAATTCCTCTCAAAGTATTTACGTAAATTTCCGTCCACAGCAAATTGTAAAATCAAATAATTATGGTCACTAATAGGGTCTGTTTATAATGTTAATTATGTTGAAGTCAATAATATTGTAAATTGCCACTTTATTCTAATTACCTTTTGTAGTCCCATAAAATTTGATAATATTTGGATGTTCATGTTTACCAAGTTTTTCAAAAGTATGAAGCTATAAATATCATAAAATGATTAGTAAGGAATTTTTAGATAATAATAAATTCATTTGAATATCAAGAATGCACTATTACCTCCTTAGTAAAACCATCAATTTTAATGTTATTGGTATTACCATTTCTATTATTAACACTTCTATTAATGTTTTTAAGAGCGATAGTTAAATCTCCCCACACTGCTTTATATACAGTCCCGAATTCACCACTACCGACTTTCTCTAAGTTAGAAAATTCAGTAAAATCATATTTTTTAATTTTGAAGCTTTCAGTCAAACCAATCAAATTATTTGTCATTATTTTTTATAAAGTAAAAAATTACTGCGTTTTATAACTATTCGAAAATTCAAAGTTTGTTATATCAATATTGTAATAAGTAAATTTTGACTGTAATATGCATTCAAAATCATGAGTAAGCCCACGAGTAAAGCTGTGACTAAATCTGTATTAGTTTACGCACATAAGTTATAAATATAGGCATTTACTGTATTATTGAATTTTAAGAATTTTAAGATTACATATGACGCAGTGTTCCAGTTTAACTCCCGAAATCCATTTTTCTGAAATACCATTTTACCGAAGTTGTAATACCGAAAATCCATTTTACTAGAAAGACAGAAATAGGTCAGTGTCATTTCACAGAATATCAATTAACCGACAAGTTTATTTCACTGACAGTTTATTTAACAGACAGTCATTTAACCGACAAGTTTTTATAAAAATTGCATTAACCTTAACTTTAATTCTAAAACTGACTCTAACGACGATGGCCAGAATTACTTTGTCGATGAAATGACTATTGGTTAAATAAACTGTCAGTGAAATAAACTTGTCAGTTAATTGATATTCGGTGAATGACACTGACCTATTTCTGTCCTGTTAGTAAAATGGATTGTCGGTATTACGACTTTGGTGAAATGGTATGTCAGAAAAATAGGCTTCGGGAAAGTGAGCAACAACCATGACGCAGTCATAAGTGTTGTGCTGACGGATTTTAGATAGGATTTAGATAGAAATAATAAAAGAATAATAAAGTATCTACAACTGCGAAACATAAACTAC